AACCCTATTCTAATTAGTAAGGCCGCAAGGCCCCTATCTTAAACCCTTATAGTAGCCCTTCTAGAACCCTTTACAGACCCTTTAAAGGAACCCGATTCTAATTACTAAGGCCCCTATAATTAGTACCCTCCGGCCCCAGCACAAATGCAAGGCCTGCCCTAAACCCTAAACCCTAAACCCTAAACCCTAAACCCAATTCCGAAGCAGGTTCCTGGTCTGTAATGACTGATCTGCACGGCGTCGTGAGATGAGCAGGCGGGAACTGCCCAGCTCGATCCGCTTTTTGTGCAAATATTGGGAGTGCCAGGGGGTTTAGGAGAGTTGAGGGTTTGGGGTTTAGGGATTAGCTATGGGGTTTAGGATAGTTGAGGGCTTATGCATAGGCTTCGTGAGTGTAGCATGATTCCATTAGCCTAACCTAATGTGTGTTTGAACCCTAAACCCTAAACCCGTTTGCCAAAGCTTTGCCTAAACGGTTGAGGGCCTCGTGGGCTCCGGATCGGCATTCAGCTGCGCACTCAAGCACACAAGGCTCTTGGGTTTGTAGAGCTTAATGCAGGGGCCTTGAGCATCAGAATAGGTTTTTGGGGTATATTGTACCATAGTTGCAATAAGGATCCCCCAAAATAGTATTGGATTTATGTTGAGCCTATATGGGTGGTTTTCTAAATTAGGGTCCCTTTGGGGGTCCTTTTTACAAGCGTGGCTTCTAACGCGTTTGGTGTATCAAATTCTCAAGCTTGATATAGAGGCCTAAAGAATTACCAATATTACTGTTAGGGTTCCTTCTTATAATTATAGTATAATGGGCCCCAAAACCCGATTCCAGTTATTAAGGCCCCTGCATTAACGGGGAGCCATTCGTTCCCTGCGGAAAATGTTTAGGGCTCATTTTCGGGTCTGGTGGGGGCTAGCTTATTGGAGGTTCATGGGTAGTTATAAGTGGGGCTATAAGTCCCCGATGTTGCGTGGAAGGTATAGTTGCCCTACTGATAACCCCAAGTATTATAACCCTAAACCCTAAACCCTAAACCACCCATGAACCTCCAAGTAGACTTAAACAGTCAGTCAGCTGCTTGAGGTGAGGACGGTTTAGGGTTTAGGGTTTAGGAGGTCTGTATCCCAGGCCTTCGGCTTTGCCCTGAGCATTTTTGCCTGTAATATAGGGGCCTTAATAA